GCCCCATTCTAAAATATCACACCATATCAAAAAATTTAATACCGTGATTTTGACATTATGGTATTTGGTGTGATATTCAGTATACATTTTAATTTTTTTGGTAATCGGTACGGTATTTGGTATTTAAAGATAACATACCGAAATACCAAATATCATATCGAAGTATATAGTTATATAAATAACATATAAACATTATTAAAATACTAATAAATATGCAACCTAGTATTAGTATAAACTAAATGTTTAGAAGTTAAAACTTTGACTACTCTATTTTGATTGAAATGTATTTGAATTGTAATTGATTAACAAAATGAGTTGTTTGTACTTTATTTTGCATATATATTTCTATATGTGTAATGTGTTAGCATAATGCAATTGAGACCTTTTAATTGTCGAAGTCATAATATTTTATTATACGAGTATATATTAGTCGAAGTTCAACAAATTATGGTTATTGATTTATCATACCGTAAAATATCAAAATTAAACTTCAATCTACCAAACCATACTGAATTAAATTAATATAATAATGATATAATATTTTAAAAACCAAATACCAAAATTACAATATCAAAACTTTCAAATATCATACCGTATCATACCATAAAATGCACACTCGAAAAAATCTCCTTACTGAAAACGCTCATAATGACAACATCAACAATCAACCTGAAGGTGTACGCCAACTTACTTCAATCAGCTTTAAGCAAAACAATGAGAACATAAGCATGTGCTAAGTGCTTATCAATCAATTTGAATGGATATTATTTGTGTCAGATTTTAAATTTATAAATCAGATCTAACTAATAAAATTTGAGTTTTACAATTTATGGTTTTCGTTTTTTTTTTTGGATTTTTCCGGTAAAGGTGTTTCTTAAGAAAAAAATTTAAAATATGAGATGAGTGATGAGATAAAAAATAATAATGAAATCATATAAAATAAATATTGTAAATTAATAAGTCATAATGAAATTGACTATAATTTAAAAGTACTAAATCATGTTAAATTACGTCTAATAAGAATTAATTACACGAGGAAACATTAAAGAAAAAATAACATTAGGTTATATATGTTAAATGTTTAAATCAACGTAAAATTAAAGAACAAATATTCAACGTTATTGTCATTCTTAGTTTTGAATTAATTTGTTTTTGTAAGCATTAGTATTGATTTGATTGTGATTTGAGCTTTACTAGAGTTACTAATATCTATGAACTATAACTTTTATTGGACCATTCAAAATTCTAAGTCTCAAAGTTTGAAATAATATGTTAAAAGATAAAAATTATGAAAAATTATAAGAAATATTTAGAAATTATATCAAAGTAAATATTTTTTTATGTATAAAATAAATTTGAAAAATTATATATATATAATGTTGGATTGATTTAGTCTCAGTTGATTTATTTTTATTTAAAATCAAATCAACCCAAGTATAATTAATTATTTTTTTCTATCAAACCAAATAATTAGTTGAATTTTATTTGATTCAATTTATGATTCGAGTTTGTACACTCCTATCCATATATTCAATATCTTCTTTTGCAATTATTTGTAAGAAAAATAAAGTCACGTGTTTGTTTTGTTCTTGCAACCTTTATTATTGTTTTACACGCAAAGATTGTGTTTCATGTACGTAGTAGACCATGAATATCTTTTATGATTCACTAGGGTCCTTGCAAATTTAAATTGGGCCCTATATGATTCATCTCACTCACCTACTTTCGTTGCACTAAAAATAATCTGTACCAATAATTAATTAATAATAATAGCTTAATCGTCGCTTAATATATTTTTTTAGAGATAATTAACACTCTTTGTAAATATTCTTAAAGCCTATAGCGACATTGAATCCAACGACAATTAATTAATGTCAAAAAAAACTTTAGCAATCTTTGTTAATGTGCATATTTATTGCCATTGAAACTATTTTTGTGATAGTGTCCTTAGTTGTAAATTCAGACTTATCCAAATTGAGTATTGATATTGAATTAGATAATACTAATTTGTCGATGTAAATTAAGGTGAGAAGGTATATAATATCTTTTGTCTCAATTTTATATGACATTTTTTTTATAACATGTCCTAAAAAGAATGTCATTTTTTATATAATTAAAATAATTTAATTTTTTTAACCCTCAATGAAATAATTTATAATCATATAAATATTAAGATTATTTTAAATCACAAATTTTAAGTATATTTTTTTCTTCTAAAATTTTATATCATATTAAATGATGTCACGTAAATTGAAAAATCTTAAAAGTAATTAATTGAAATTTTCGAGATTACTCTAAATAAAAAGGATAGGTATCATTCCTTAGTTCTTAGTGGAGTACAAAAAGAAACACGAGTAAGTGTTTTTAAACACCGGCCTCTTCAATAATTGAAATAAAATGATAGTGAAGTTTCTTTTGAAGAAAAACTCAAATTTAACTTCTCTTTCATTTTAATTTATTTATTTGATATAAAATTTTAAAAAATAATAAAGACTTTTAAATTTTATAATCTTAAATTTAAAATATTATAGAATGTACTTCTTTATTCTCACGGTCTAAAATATATTATGTAGAAAATTAAAATAAAAGAATTGTTAAAAAAGTAAAATTTGTTTTTAATAATATCAATTTATAAGAAAAATAAAACAAATAAATTGAGACCACGGAAATAAATGATTGGAGTTTATAACAAAGTCGAAGATGAACACTTTGGACACTTATAAAAGGTAGACCAATTTTTTCAAAAGGAAGAAAATCTTAAACAATTTTCCTTACATTGTGGGATTAGGGTCAAAAGATTTTGTAAAGGCAGAGTAACTTAATTTAATAGTTTTTTAAAAAAATAAATTTATCTTTAATTTAAGTCTTCTTCATAAGTTTTATTTTCCCTTTTCCTTCGGTATTTGGAATTCATATTAAAATTCGATTAAATTTGGATTTGCTTCAGAAAATTTCACATTAAAAAATAAAAGGATTCCTAACAAAGGTGATTTTGATATCCTTATTTATATATATATATATATATGTGTGTGTGTGTGTGTGTGTGTGTGTGTTTATTAGTAGGAGTATGATAATAACATAGTAACGGATTTTCATTTTCATGCACTCAAACTTTAGAGGTCTGAATGATTAAGATCTACATCAAAGTCTTAATATCATTTAGATGTATATTTAATAATTTCTACAAAATTGCCAGTTCAGAATACTCCATCAACGTTTACCCACCATTAACTATCATTCATCAGCCCAACAATCATCACTACCGCTGGGGTTGGCAAATGATCGGATCGTGTTGGGTATGAGTCGATTGAAAATGAGTCAGGTGAAAATAAATAAAATATTCAACTTGACTCATTTAATATGAATAAAAATGGCTAAACCCAATGGATAATATGGATATTCTATTACTCAGATTATCCATTGCTTCTTACTATGTAGAGAAAGAGAAAAGATATAAAGTGACACCCGAAGTAGTCCCCATTTTCAAAGAGACACATTAATTATACGAGTGTCATATTACCCCACAAAAGTATTGAATATCATTGTAAAAGGGTCATTTTGACCCATTTTTCTCACCTAATTTGTGAACACGCACAACACGCGCTTGAAGGTTTGTTTTTGCTGATAAAAACCAATTAAAAAATGCCACATTTCGCGTGTTTTCTTTATTAATTATTTACTTGCTTTAAATCATCTTCTTCCTCAAAACATTACCGTTTCAAACTCGGCATTAACATTTTCAAGTTCTTCTTTATAATCATCTCCATTAACAACTTCCTTAAGGTCCCAATTCAACAATCAATTATCAAATTCCCTCTATTTCGAAACCCTAATTTTGACTGAAAAAACGCAAATCCAGCAAAAATTGTTCACACCCAAGTGAGAAAATACTAAAACAAATTCAACCCAAAAACAGAGAAAGACAAAAATCAAAGCAAAACTTAATTACAACACCAAGAAAGAGAAACAAAAAGAGAAAAAAAATTCATAGAAAAAGATAATTATATACTGAAAGCGAGAAGAAAATCTGATTAGCCAGAGGTGTGTCCAAGATTTCGGTTATATGGGTGCGCGATTACGAAAAAATATATCTTAAATATAAATTTGATCGATTTGACTTTTAGTTCGTAATATGAACCGTTAAAGTTTAAAAATTATAGGTCCAAAATATATAATACTACTAGTTTTAAATTTTAATATACACATTTGATTTAATTATATAAAAAAATTACAATGCTAAATTTTTTAGGAATTCTCATTGTAACACACTTGAAAATTTTGAAAGAATAAAGGAAAAAAACAAAAGAAAAATTAGTTGAAACGACAAAAGTGTAACTGATAACCACGTGAAAAAGTGTTACTCAAAGAGACAAGTTAGATATAAGATTTAAATTTCTATCTCTCACTTAGAGAAGTGCACCCAATCATCATCGCATTATTATATGATACTTTGAACATAGGTTTACACATCTATATTTAAATATTTTTAAAAAAAATATAATACTACTATATATGATCTAGAGAGGGGAGCATGAGTTCACGTGAACCCACGGCACCCCTCTAGATACGCCTCTGTGAATAGCGGAAAGAATAGGGATAAATAGAGATTGAAAAATATTTAATAATTTTTTTCTTCATACCAAATACATCCTTAATAAGTTTACTTTCAAGTAAAATATACAGACAACTTTAAATGACCGTGATGACTTAAGCCATTCAAAAATTATGACCAATCGAAAAAATTTGATACACTTTTTATTCATACCAAACACACCCTTTGCCTATCTTTTAACTTTGGTTGTGCTGTTTTCTTATAAATAGAGCCTCTAATATGTAGAACACATAACTCTCAAACTTGAGGAAATGGCCTCCTCTTCTCTTCAATCTCCAATAGCCAAAAAATTATTTTCTTTCTTTTCTATTTCATAGTCTAATTTTTTCTCTACACACTTAGAAAATAATTGTACTAATTTAATTTCTATTTGAATTTGTGCAGGCTAGAAGGTAAAGTAGCACTTATAACTGGTGGTGCTAGTGGCATAGGAGCAGCTACCGCTAGACTTTTTATTCAACATGGTGCAAAAGTAACAATTGCAGATATTCAAAATGATCTCGGAAATTCATTAGTAAAACAAATCGACAATAATGAACACATAATGTTTATTCATTGTAATGTCGCAATTGAATCAGATGTTCAAAATGTTGTAGATGCAACGGTTGCCAAATTTGGTAAGTTCGACATAATGTTCAGTAACGCTGGTGTAGCTGGTAAGTCAATTTCCAGCATTTTAGATGTAGATTCCGATATAATTAAAAATGTGTTCGATGTAAACGTTGTTGGAGCCTTTTTATGCGCGAAACATGCTGCTAGAGTAATGATTTCGAATAATACGAAAGGTTCGATTATTTTCACAACAAGTGCTGCAACAGTAGTCTATGGTATTGTCCCACACGCATATGCTGCATCAAAAAGTGCGGTTTTAGGGCTCTCTAAGAATATAGGAGTTGAATTAGGAAAATACGGAATAAAAGTTAACTGTGTTTCTCCTCATTACATTAGCACACCGCTAACGTTGAACGCGCTCGGAATATCTGAGAGAGAAATGGGAGAGAAATGGTTTGCTGAAGGAGGAAATTTGAAAGGAGTTTTATTAGATGAACAAGATGTAGCAAATGGAGTGTTGTATTTAGCAAGTGATGATTCTAAATATGTGAGTGGTTTGAACTTAGTTATTGATGGTGGTTATAGTACTACAAATATTGCTATAGGTGAGGCATACAACAAATTATTCCCATCAGGTACTGCCAATCAAGTTATGCAGATTCTTATTTAAATTCGCAAAGATTTCAACCCGTTCCACCCCGTATTATTTTTTATCCCTATAATTGTCACTGTCTTACTTTATGTACAAGTTCTTCCCATTTTTACTTGTAATAGTAATATATTGTACTCGATCTATTGGAGTATTACACTACCATTGAATAATTTTCTCTAACTTCATTACCTTCCCTAAAAATATTTTCTTTGCTAAGTAGTAGTATTGATTTAAGGGAAAAGAAGTGAATATGTTTCTCAACTTTGCAATTTAGACAGGACATATACCTTATTTAAAAAGTGACACACACATATTTATATGATTGCCGTTGAACAAATGGTGCATGTATAATACCCTTGACATCTAATAATATTATATAAAGAATTACCAATTTACTGTACCGTCTAATAGCGAAATCAAATTTTAAAATACCAAATCATATTGAATTAATTGGGTAATGGTAATAATATAGTATTTTGAAAAGTCAAAAATAATAATTATTGAGCTTGAAGTTTTCAATATCATACCATGTCCCGCCCTACTTATAGATACAAAAACACAACTAAAATGGTATAAGGGTGATCAGTCGAATATTATTCGCTAACAAAATTAATTATACATTATATATATTAAATAGGTCAAATATTACTTCTTTATTTTTCAAAACCATTATCAATTGATTGTGAGCCATTGATGTGGGGGTTAAACTTGACCCTACCAAGTTCATAAATCCAAAAAATGTACAAAATTGGAGGGAGACATCCTTACCACAAGAAAGGATCAGCCTAAAAATCCTTCTAAACAAGTAAGAGTCGTGTTTAAATTTTAAGCATTCTGAGATAAGTGATTGATATTAAAATATTCAACAAAACTCTTATAGAGCATGGGTGTATTTGGACCTTTCCCTTTTAACGTAACTAAGTCAAGGGTGTTTTTGAGCCGTTAGACACAAGGGTATTTTTGAGCCGAAAGGTGAACGTCAGGGGTATTTTAGGATCGATAGATGGAATGGAGGGTAATTTTGTACCAATTCAAATATTTGAGGGGGGCATTTTAGGCCTTTCTCCGTTTAATAAAACAAAAAATAATTTTAACATTGGTGTTTTTACTGAAAAAAGTAAATATGAGTTATTTGTGTAACCGGTGACAATAAAAATGTAAATAAATATTTTTTAAACAAAATAAATCATTTTATATAATACAAGGATATATATATGTTTAAATTTTTTCCCTTTACTAGAGCCTAGAGGTAAAGGCTAAAGCATTGAATTTATGATTTTCTTTTTAATTTTATGATATTACGATTATGTGTCAAGTATTCAAGAGTTTCCTTTCTTTTTTAGCGGACTTTTCAATAATATTTTTAGACTTCAAACAGTTAAGATATTGATATTAATAATCTTTAATAGAGATTTTTTCCCTATAAATACAGAAGTATGGTCCCGCACCTACAATTTCATACATATTTGTAAACAATTAATTTAGTGTATATGTGTATTTTTACTTTTATCAATAAAGTTATTGAAATAATAGAATTATGAAAAAATAGGAAGTGAAGTTAAAATTGTATTTCAAATATATAATTTTTTATGTTATTGATTTCAAATTTTATTTTTCTATATTTATGGATTCACGATTGGATTTTGATTAAGTAATATTCATTTCGAATTTGGTAGTTGATTTAGATTGATCTTCGAATATCCAAAAATTCAAATATTTATCCTTTATATTCATTCTTACTCGTATTATATATGCTCAATACTAAAAAGTCTAATTTCCAAAGGTTTAATAATTAGTACTCACGAGTCACGCCACTATCCATTAGTATAAAGTCCAATATGAAATTACACAACATGGGCGGCGATGAAGTGGCCCTAATCCTTATAATTGCAAAAAGCTATACATTCTAACTTCCAAAAAGTAAATTATGAGGTGAATTGAAGTTGTTAATTGTTATAATCGGTTTTAAAGACTTAAAAGTCAAAATAGAAAATTTGACATATATCCAAACTGATTAATCTAGTTGAACTTAAAATATCCAATTAAATCCGAATTTATTTTTATTGGATAGTAATTTTTTTAAACTAAAACTCAAAAATTCAAATTGAGATGTTCATATTCAATCTGAACAACCACAACACCTTTTCCTAATTCATATATTATTATATAGAAAATGCTCTCCTACAATTTAAATAAATTGAAAGTGATTAAAATTTGACCCCTATAAAATAAAGTATCTTCTTTTTTTTTTTTACAAAACACTATTTTCTTCTTCTTAAAAGTGGACTCAAACCCCTCAATTCTCTAAATTAATATTTGAAAAGAAACACATTTAATTCATTAGATAGCTTTTGATGTATAAAAACCTATTTTATTCTAAAATACAGCATAGGAAACCCTTTTCTCCCGTTAATCATATACGGATATAAATAGATATTTTACTCATCGCGTATTAATGCTATAAGTATAATTTTTTAATTCATTTTTTATTAAATCAACTCACCGAAAAAAATAAATGATGAAAATATCTTACTGAAATATTAAGAAGAGTCCTAATTTTTTTTTTGTTTAAATGGTACAATCTTTTGTTTCACACAGATTCTTATATTAAATTTGTGAAGTTATCATAAAAAATCATTTCTATGCAAATTGTCAACCTTGCGTCTGTAGGCTATAGCTATATGCCTTCTAAATATTTAGCCACCACATTCACGTGGCTTTTTAGTTCCCAAGTTTATGACATTTAAGTAGTCACAATTTTAAAACCCTAAACCTAATGTTTATAAATATGACAATAATATACTAAAAGATCTTAACATTTTAAAAATATTTTTAGTATATTATATATATATTTTTAATTGTTACAAAATTATAAGATTTAAAAATCTTTTATATACTTTTAAATTTTATGTCAAATTAAATTAAGATATATAAAATGAGACAAAGGGAGAAAATATTATTTTCACACAACTATTAGTCGTAATTTTTAGTAATATAAAGTAAAATTTCTCTAATTAGTCGAGTTAGACGAAGTTAAACCTAACTAGAGCTACTAGGAACTAGCTAGGTTTCCTCCCTTCCCTTAATGTAATTAGCCATGCGTAAAAAATATTCAAATCATAAATACATTATATATTGTACGTTAAGCAAAATGTACTGGTTAATTAAAAATAAATAAATAAATGATTGAGTAAATTCTAAATATTAATGAATGATAATCTTATTTAGTAAGCTCAATTTTTTTTTAAAAACGGAATTATGCTCCATACAGATCTTAATATTTAATTGTAATTTCGATATATAGATTATGTAAAAAGAATTGAGGAAAAAAAAGGGAAGAAAAATAGAATATAATTATACTTTGTTGCTAATGGTGCATTAATTGTATTTTAAGGAAATTAATAATCATTGTGCCCCCTCTCTATTGCATAGCTACATGAAGAACATATAAAATAATTATTGCATATATATTGCAAATACACAACATAATTTAACCTAGAAGATAAATTATTAGTTATACAAATTAAATTCAAGTTTAATTTGTTAAATTCATGATGGATAATAAAAAGTAACAAATCGAAATAAGGCTAAAAAATCATGAAATTCAATGAATTTTGAAAGATAAGAATTGATTATATATATGTATCATATTCTTTAGGACATTTTCTTTTTCTTTATTTGATTTCACTAGATCTCATATCGTTTGTCATTTTTTATATTATTTAGCTTGATTTTCCAATAAAACTCTTGTTTTTAAAAAAGCATAATAATAATTAAAATAATCCATGAGTAAAAACAGAAAAAGGTGATAGAATTCTCTTGTATTTTTTGGCCTATGGTATTTTATTATAATTTATAGGCATACACGGATACACCGATGCAGATAAGGGTAGATGTTCGGGTCAATCAAATTGAACACAAAAATTTTGATTTGAATTTTGGTTTTCAAATCAAAGAAATTAATATTCAAATAAATTTGGTCCCTAGGTTAAAAAGAGATGTCTTGAGCAATTAGGGAATCATTTTAATAAATAGATTCGATCTTAACCGATTCAATTAAGGTATTAGTGTTTATTCTATTATACAATCAAAATCACATTTTTTGCACTTTGTATATTTTGAATTTTGACTTTGACTTTTAAGCCTTTAACACATGCTTCTTAGGAAGGATATTAATTGCGAACCTCCATTTTATCACCAAATCACAAACCATCAAATGTTTTCATACTCATTGTCTATCTCTAGGAGAAACAAAATTAATGGAGTTAAATGTATAACAATTAGGGTACTATTAAACCTTTAGACTTATTAGTATTAATCATATATACGAGTAAGGGTTACTTAATATAAGGTATAAGAATTCATTTTTTCTAATATTTGAAAAGCTTAAGTACCAAATCTGATATCCAATTCTAAACATTTGTTATAGTGAAGTAATTCAGATTTTGTCGATCTCGTAGGTGTTATCTTCGGTTTGAAGGTGTCATTCTTTTCACGACAAGTGTAACAACCGTGGTCGCTAGTGTTGAGATTATGCAATTAAAGTATTTCAGTTTGTTATAATTAGTTAGAAGTTAGTTAGATGTGTTACAAAATAGGGAATCAAGTTAGTTAGACTGTTTCTTCTAGATTATTCCAATTACAGTTTGTATATATGTAACACTTTGTAAAAGACTGATTTATTCAATCAAAATTACATAGCTTCATGCTATTCTTCTTTCTAGTTTCAGTTTCCTCCATGTGAGCTTAGCTTTCATCAATGGAGTCTCTCAGCTTGTGTTGCTGATTTCATCATGGTATCAGAGCTCAGAGATTGCTCGCAAGTTCTCTTCCGCATCTAATCCTTCGTGAGATTTTTTTTTCTGGTTTGTGATTGATCAATTTTTTTTGAAGAATTGCATTGTGAATTCCTTTATTGTTTCTACCATTTCCGATCTTCATTTGATTTTCTCCTCTCTATTATCTGGAGGATTCATCGTGTTCTTGTTCGATTATCACGATTGGATCTGTATTTGTTTCGTGTTGATATTGGTTGATTGTCGAGTGATTGAATCTCTCCGTGATTCTCAATATGGTTGATATCCAAGCTGAATCTACTTCGAGTTCTTCTCATCTTCATGCTGATCCCACATCAGTTCGAATAGATTTTGCCAGTCCTTTTTACTTACATATATCAGAAAGTGTTGGATCTTCTCTATTACCTGCAGTTTTTGATGGTACAAGTTACAGATCTTGGAGAAGAGCTATACTTAGAGCTTTATCAGTGAAAAGCAAAACAAGATTCATTAATGGAACAATTGTGCGACCTGCTCCTGTTGATCCTGGTTTTCTGCAATGGGAACGATGTGATGACATGATAACTTCTTGGATCCTGAATTCATTGTCTCCTGATCTACGTGACAGTCTGCAATATGTAAACAATGCTCATGAACTTTGGACAGAGTTGGAAGAAAGGTACGATCAAACCAATGGGTGCAAACTATATCAGCTACAAAAAGAGATCAATGACCTTGTCCAAGGTCCTCTAGACATTACTGGCTATTATACAAGAATGAAGAAGTTGTGGGAAGAAATGAGCACTATAGATGTCAATTCTCAATGTACATGTGTGTGCACTTGTGGTGTTAAGACCAAGTTGCACAAAGCTGAACAGGACATGAGACTCTTACATTTCTTAATGGGTTTAAATGAGATGTATACATCCATCAAAGGCAATATCCTTATGATGAGTACACTTCCAAGTATGACACATATTTTTGCCATCTTATCCCAAGAGGAGAAGCAAAGGGAAGTGAAGCCCCACAATCACACAGTTCTTGACTCTACCTCACTAAATGCCTATGGCCAGTCTAGCAATAGTGCAGTACTTAAAGATCTTAAGACTAACTACAGTTCCACTAGGGGAGGTGGAAATAACTCTGGAAACTTCAATAATAACAATGTGTTTAGGGGTAGTTCTAGCACTACCCTCTTTGTTTTGTGATTACTGCAAGAGATCATGACACACAAAGGACATGTGTTACAAACTTTTTGTCTACCCACCTAACTCAAGGTTTCCAAAGGGGAAGGGATCAGGTTCAGCAGGAAATATGTTCTTCTGAGATGAATGGGCACCAGAATGAGGAGGATCCTGCACTGAAGAAACAAATGCCATTGAACTTATCTAAAGTCCAATATGAACAACTACTGAATCTTTTGGGAACTCTGCAGATTGGCAATGGAATTCTAACTCAGACAATATGATGAGTGGAGCTGTGAACTTGGCAGGTATACTTGCTTGCTACTCTTCTATAACTGAAATATGTGATCTATCTTGTAGGTGTGCTAAACTAACTGTTGGTTCTTGGATCATGGATTCTGGTACATCATATCACATGACCTACAACAAAATCATCCTTAAAAACATTAGACCACTACCTTACCCTTTCTTGATTACCTTACCTAATGGATACAAAGTTAGAGTAATTGAAAGTGGAGATGCTTGTTTGAATTAATCCAGCTTTAACCATATGCAATGTACTGTTTGTTCCTAGTTTTAAATTTAATTTAATATCTATCCATTGTTTGACCCTACAACTTAAAGGGACAATCAGTTCACGTAAATAACAACTTCTCTTGTTCACTGCAGGGCCCTTCTCTGAAGAGCCCTTTGGATATTGGTAAAGCAAAAAATGGCCTATACTTCCTCTGTCTCAGGTGCCATAATTGCCATGCACCTCATTTGGTAATGTTTCATCCCATGTTACTAGTTTTCCTTTTTACTGCACCAGTCAAGCTTCCCTTTCCTCATCTCCTTCTGTAAAATACTCTCACAAGATCAATAAAGAAGCTTGTTAAATTGTTGATTGTCCTTGTCTTACTGATAACCATGTTTCTCCTTCTGCTAATTTTTTACCTATATCTCATACTCATGATATTGAACTCTTGTGGCATGCTAGACTTAGACATGTTCCTTTTATAAAAATAAAGAGTATCTTTACTATACCAGTAAGTTTTTCTGCCAGACAACCTTTTACATGTACCATATACCCTATGGCAAGACAAACTAGAATGCCTTTCGAGGAAAGCTCTACCACCACTAGAGAACCTTTTGAGCTATTACACATTGATCTATGGGGGCCTTATCATGTACCTACACATGATGACTACATTTATTTTTTGACAATGGTAGATGATCATAATAGATCAACTTGGACACAACTGATCAGGTGCAAGAGTAATGCACTACAGGTTGTGAAAGCTTTTGTATCTCTCATAGAAAACCAATTTCAAACCAAGTTGAAAACCATTAGGTCTGATAATGGTCTAGAATTCACAAGTGGTGAGGCAACCAGTTTCTTTCAAGAAAAAGGAATAATACACCAAAAATCATGTCCTTATACCCCTCAATAAAATGGTGTAGTAGAAAGGAAACACAAATATCTTTTGGAGACAACAAGTGCACTTCTTTATCAATCACAACTACCCATGAGATATTGGGGAAAGTGTGTCCTAACTGCTACCTATATCATCAATAGACAACCTGCAAAAATACTGAAAAATAAGTCACCATACGAATTGTTGTACAAAAGAAAGCCTACTTATTCTCACCTTAGGAGTTTTGGATGTCTTTGTTTCCCCACCACTTTGAAAACTCACAAAGATAAATTTGAGCCAAGGGCAACACCTCACATATTTGTTGGATACCCTTTCAACACTAAAGGCTACAAGGTACTAGACTTAGCTACCAAAAGAGTTCATGTATGTAGAGATGTTCTTTTTCATGAGGCTATTTTTCCTTTTGTTGTTGCTCCTAATGGTTCTAGTTTTGATTATGTCTTAAAGCTGTTTGTCCATTCTGATAAAGTGTCTTCTATACCTAGTAAAATAAGTATTTTTGCTAATGATGAATTGCTGGAAACAGATGCATCTCCTGAAATTGCTAATAATCATCCTGAACTTGTTCCTAACTATGACACCAACACGGCCCAGTCCTCATTTTTGCCCCATAATTCTGTCCTCACTAATGCACCATCAATACATGCACCTAGGAGAACCACTAGGTCCATTCACACCCCTAACTACTTGAAAGAATACAATTACAATTTGCCCAAATTGCATTCTATTACACATGTCTCAAATGCTCCTAATCCACACCATTCTCTAGTTTCTTTTATCTCAAACTATGACCTTGTATGCTTTATTACCTTGTGTTCTAATAGCCAACAGTTAGTGAAGACCATCTCACACGAGTGTGAACCTGGTTTTTATGAAGAAGCAATCCTGAATCCTGCCTGGCAAATGGCAATGACACAAGAGTTTGAAGCTTTATACACAAATGACACATGGGAGATAGTTCCATTGCCTAAGGACAAGAAGCCCATTGGCTGCAAGTGGGTATATAAAATTAAACACAAGGAAAATGGGAGTGTGGAAAGATTCAAGGCTAGATTAGTAGTCAAGGGATACACTCAACAAGTCGGGATAGACTACACTAAAACTTTCTCACCCGTAGTCAAGATGACCACTGTTAGAACCTTGGTTTCTTTGGCTGTGAAGAGAGGATGAGACATGTACCAGTTAGATGTGAACAATGCCTTTATACATGGTGATTTGCATGAAGAAGTGTACATAGAATTGCCACAAGGCCTGATGATGGACAATTACAACATGGTTTGTAGACTTAAAAAGTCACTTTATGGCCTAAAGCAAGCAAGCAGGCAATGGTATGACAAACTAGCAAACAGTCTTTGTTCCAAGGGATACACACATTCAAACAGTGAATAGTCACTGTTTTATAAAAGGAAGGGGTGTTCCTTAGTATTTGTTTTTATCTATGTTGATGATGTGAACTTGACAGGTACTGATTTAGAGGAAATTACTTCACTGAAGGCTTTTTTGCATGATCAGTTTAAGATAAAAGACCTTGGTAAGTTGCATTATTTTCTGGGACTAGAAATATTGTACAGACAAGATGGTGTTCTGATTTCCCAAAGAAAATTCACTACTGGCCTGCTAAAAGAGCATGACTTCATGAACTGCAAAGTTACTTCATCACCTCTTGATTCTACTGAAAAGCTTAAAGCTATAAATGGCAAGTTACTGTCAGATCCCACTCACTATATAAAACTGGTGGGAAAGCTTAATTTCCTCACAAACACTAGGATGGATATAACTTATAGTGTTCAACATCTCAGTCAATTCATGAAGACACCCAGGGAACCACACTTGAAGGCTGTTTATCATGTCCTTAGATTTCTAAAGCAAGATCCTACGTTAGGTATTTTTATCTCAAACACACCTGAATTTACTGTCACCGCTTATTGTGATTAAGACTGGGCAGTTTGCCCTGACTCTAAGAAATCTGTTAGTGGGTACCTGGTCCTTATGGGTGATAGTCCCATTAGTTGGAAGTCCAAGAAACAGGCCACAATGTCCTTATCATCAGCTGAAGCATAATATAGAGCTGTGAGACTAGTGGTGGGAGAATTGGTACGGTTTGAGAGACTACTTGTTGAATTGACAGTGGAATGTCCCCTGCCTATACGTGTGTTTTGTGATAGTCAGGTAGCAATTCACATTGCCAAAAATCCAGTATTCCATGAGAGGACAAAACATATAGAAGTGGATTGCCATTTTGTTAGGGATAAGATCCAATAGGGACTGGTTGTACTTCAACACATCTCCACCAACTCACAACTTGCAGATATCTTCACTAAGGCACTAACTGGAGTCAAACATGCTACGATTTTGAGCAAGTTGTCTGCGATTACTTCACCTCCAACTTGAGGGAGGCTGTTGAGATTATGCAATTAAAGTATTTCAGTTTGTTACAAAATAGGGAATCAAGTTAGTTAGACTGTTTCTTCTAAATTGTTCCAATTACAGTTTGTATAAATGTAACACTTTGTAAAGACTGATTCATTCAATCAAAATTACATAGCTTCATGCTATTCTTCTTTCTAGTTTCAGTTTCCTCCATGTGAGCTTAGCTTTCATCAATGGAGTCTCTCAGCTTGTGTTGCTGATTTCATCAGCTAGTAGCAGTACCCCGCACACCTGTACGTCATCAAGCAGTGCAATTTTTGGACTTTCAAAGAATGCTGGAATCGAATTAGGGAAATACGGAATAAGAGTTAATTGTGTTTCTCCTTATGCAATTAGCACACCATTTATGGTAAATGGATTTGGAATACACAAACAAAAGGCAGACAAATGGTTTATGGAAGCAGGAAATTTGAAAGGAGCTTTATTAGATGAACAAGATGTAGCAAATTTAGTGTTGTATTTGGCAAGTGATGATTCCAAATGTGTGAGTGGTTTGAATCTAATTATTGATGGTGGTTATAGCACTACAAATGTTGCTTTAACTGAGGCTTACAACAAATTATTTTTATCAACTACCAACAAATGATTGATCAATTGATTGAAAGCTATCCAATATGCATATTATGAATCTATTATCAATAAAAATAAGGAATAAAAAGTTTTACATTCATGATATCTTTGAAAAATGGAAGTGTCTCATATCAGTAGTCAATGAGATGAGTGATTTTTTTTATAAGGTTTGGATAATTCTACTTCCTTTAAGTTAGCTTTTGGGGTGTGAATTAGTCTTAAGACCTAATTTTACATGCTATAAAGTTATAAGACACTAATTTATGCTAAAGACAACATAGTGACTAACAAGCTTGTTAGACAATTGCACATACACAAAATGAATATGATCTATAATGCCTTCCTACAATGATGAGATTTACATGAAACTTTCACAAGGCTTAACTTCTTATATATCAAGACAATGGATGCCAAGATAACTGATTTGGCCACGATTGGTAGTGATAAGAGGTTATTAAACTGTTACCCAATCGCTAAATCTATAACTCATTATCCATAAACCAATTCGATTTTGGACAACACAATCATATATGCTCAATACTAACAAGTTTAATTTTCAAAGGTTTAATAGTTAGTACCTTACGCCACTATCCATTATAGTATGAACTCTACACAACATAGGTGACGATATAGTGGCCTCAATCCTTGTAATTGTAGACAGGTAAACATTCTACTTAGCAAACTATTAGGTGAATTGAGGTTGTTAATTGTTATAATCTGTCTTAAAGCTAATTAGATTTAAAAGTCAAAATAGAAAATTTAACATGTCCAAACCGATTAATCCAGTTGAACTTAAAAAATCCAAATCAATCCAAGTTTATTTTTTTATTGGATTGTAATTTTTCTAATTAGAAAATCAAAAAATTCAAATTGAAATTTTCATAATCAATCTGAACGACCCAAACACCAAGCCCTAATCGTGTATTAGTATATAGAAACACTCTCCTACACTTTAAATAAATTGAAAGTGATCGAAATTTGTGTAGCGATCTGTTCCTGTCATTATAAAAAAGCCAATGGGGAAAGAATTAGGGCTAGAAAACTTTGAGTAGTAACTTTAGATTTCCTAGCCTAGTCCAAATTTAATTTGGACGAAATCAGAGTCAGTGAGGTCTAAGGAAATCTGGTAACAAATGAGAGACCTAATTATGATTTTGATCACATGACTAGATAACTAGGGTTATTTGGTTTGTTATAATCCATATAATTAGACCTTTAATTGTTGATCCTTGCGTTAATTGTATATTTTTAAACCACGAACAAGCGGGAGGAATCTGGAAAAGAAA